TCACCAGGGATACCAACAACAGATTAACACAATTGTTTTAATTGTAATTGTTTTAAACCCATGGAGAATGCTATCCGCAAATAGGGGCTATACCTGTAAAATACTGTTCCTACTGTTGCAAATGTGTAGGGCTTCACCTGAGCTGAACACAACCTTGCAGCTGTCAGTGTACAAAGCCATTACACCAAGGCGTCTGACTGAGCCCCTGAGTGAAATCACAAGTGATTTACTTCAGCCTCTGTCTTTACACTCATCGCACCAAACCACGTGGTACAAAAGCCAGGCCTAATGGCTAAAGAGTCTGGCATGTTAGCCAGACAACACTAGTACCCTAGATGCACTACACTAGCACCCTAGTTCTGTTTTACGGTACCCTCAGGCACCGGCATACCTCCTGGTCAGGTCATGTGGTCAGGAAAAACTCTAAGCCCCATCTATGGCTGCTCGGCAGCACCTTCCCAGTTATGACACCAATGTATCGAATTTCGAAAAACTGTTTAGAAAAACAAGCCCCCTGCCTCTGATGTAGTCTGGGACTGTCCATATCAGGTCCCTAACGTAGATCTAAGGGCTGTAACTTCCAGAATGCAGAGGTCAGCCAACTGAGCTACAGAATAAGGTTAAGGGTATTCTATATACAGACCCAGTGCAACAACAACTCGAGAGTACTGTACTATTGACTTAATTCTTTCAGGACAGTGGAACTTCACAAAAAGTGCTTTTTTATTGACTAATGCATCCTTATAGCCTTCATCGGGTTTTAACAATAAATAAACACTTATCAACCTCCACTGTCCTCAAAGAATAGCTGAATTTCTCTTAATTTCAGTTTGCTCTTCAATTCATGCACCTTGGTTAAAAAGCGAGGTAGCGGCAGTGTACCCTTCCCTTTCTATTGACTGTAAATCCAAAGTGAATCTGACTGAAGTCCTCCCATACACCTACAGTGCATTCGGACAGTATTCAGACCCCTTGACTTTTTCCACATTGTTACGTTACAGCCTTATTCTAAAATAGATTAAATTGTTTTTTCCCCTCATCAATCTACACACAATACTCCATAATGACAAAGAAAAAACAGTTTTTCCGATATTTTTGCAAATGTATAAAAAATAAAAAAATGGAAATATCACATTTACATAAGTATTTAGGCCCTTTGCTCAGTACTTTGTTGAAGCACCTTTGGCAGCGATTACAGCCTCGAGTCTTCTTGGGTATGACACTACAAACTTGGCACACCTGTATTTGGGGAGTTTCTCCCATTCTTCTCTGCAGATTCTCTCAAGCTCTGTCAGGTTGGATAGGGAGCGTCGCTGCACAGCTATTTTCAGGTCTCTCTAGAGATGTTCGATTGGGTTCAAGTCCGGGCTCTGGCTGGGCCACTCAAGCACATTGAGACTTTTCCCAAAGCCACTCCTTCGTTGTCTTGGCTGTGTGCTTAGGGTCGTTGTCCTGTTGGAAGGTGAACCTTCGCCCCAGTCTGAGGTCCTGAGCGCTCTGGAGCAGGTTTTCATCAAGGATCTCTCTGTACTTTGCTCCGTTCATCTTTCCCTCGATCATGACTAGTCTCCCAGTCCCTGCTGCTGAAAAACATCCCACAGCATGATGCTGCCACCATGCTTCACCGGAGGTACGGTGCCAGGTTTCCTCCAGAGATGACGCTTGCATTCAGGCCAACGAGTTCAATCTTGGTTTCATCAGACCAGAGAATCTTGTTTCTCATGGTCTGAGAGTCCTTTAGGTGCCTTTTGGCAAACTCCAAGCGGGCTATAATTTACATTTACGTCGTTTAGCAGACGCTCTTATCCAGAGCGACTTACATTATTTTTATTTATTTTATTTTTCATACCCCCTGTGGGAATCGAACCCACAACCCTGGCGTTGCAAACACCATGCTCTATCAACTGCTATCATGTGCCTTTTACTGAGGAGTGGCTTCAATCTGGCCAATCTACCATAAAGGCCTGATTGGTGGAGTGCTGAAGAGATGGTTGTCCTTCTGGAAGGTTCTTCCATCTCCACAGAGGAACTCTGGAGCTCTGTCAGAGTGACCATCGGATTCTTGGTCACCTCCCTGACCAAGGCCCTTCTTCCCCGATTGCTCAGTTTGACCTCATGGCTTGGTTTTTGCTCTGACATGCACTGTCAACTGTGGGATCTTATATAGACAGGTGTGTGCCTTTCCAAATCATGTCCAATCAATTGAATTTAGCATAGGTAGACTCCAATGAAGTTGTAGAAACATCTCAAGGATGATCAATGGAAACAGGATGCACCTGAGCTCAATTTCGAGTCTCATAGCAAAGGGTCTGAATACTTATGTAAATAAGGTATCTGTCTAAACACCTGTTTTCGCTTTGTCATTATGGGGTATTGTGTGTAGACTTAAAAATTTTTTTTTTAGAATATGGCCGTAACGTAACAAAATGTGGACAAAGGGAAGGGGTCTGAATACTTTCCGAATGCACTGTACCTGCATGAAAATCTACAAAAACTACAAATCATAGGTGACCACATTGTTAGTGCATGGGGGGGGGGGGGGGGGGTTCCGTGGTGTCAGGCTGTGTCTGAAGCTGAAAAAGCAACTGTGTTTCAAAGAAAACGGTTTGCCAGCTTAGAGACAGAGTTGGACGAATGAACTCTGGAAATGAATGTGCAGAATTCATGGCCATCTGTTGAAGGATCATTATCACCACAGGCAGCACTTTGCTTCAATGTTTTAATTGAAAAGCTAACAAACCTAAAAGCTGAGGGGAAACAAGTACACAAATAATATGCATTACTGTCGTCTTGCAGTACTGTAGCGGGTATTACAGTCTAAAATCATTTCTGCCATTCGCTATAATTTGTAGGCCTACTGAGACGCAACATTAATGGGAAGCACAGTGAGTAACCGGCCTGATACACAAAGCAGAAAAATTAGACCTTGTTAAAAACTAAATCTGGTCATTGTGGATCAGAGGTCCACAGTAACACAGACAGGAGACGGCTAAAATGACCAGTTAATATACACCATGAATGACTCCCAAAACGGCACACTATTTCCTATATAGTGCACTACTTCTGTCCAGATCCCTATTGGTCAAACGTAGTGAAAAAGGGTGCCATTCTCAGGATGTCTGTAAAATATGCTAATTTGGGCTGGTGCCACAGGGTAGTCACAGTAAGTCCTGGCAGACAACTGACGTATCCATTGCTTTGCCCTTTACTGGCCCCATGCTGATTCCAGAGTATGAATCACTGCAGATGGCACCATTTACCATTCTAGACCTGCCTTTTGTTTCTCTTCTGGCAAGTGCTCCACAATTCAAGCTGTTCAATTGAAGTCATTAGGGCCTAGCGTACCCTCTGACATTTTCCAAATGAAAATGAATTTATTGCATTTTACAGTCGAGATTGAGAGGTGTTCAATATGGAAATGGATTAACATGCCCTACATACTTTGCTGCATTTCATTATTTGTTTAGTAGTTCAAAGGCTGGACACAAGAAAATGTCCTTTGTGCAGTGAACAGCTTGCGTCTCTGCGGCAGGTCAGTAAGACTGCACTATGCAAAGGCAAGGGAACTGTCTAGTCCGGGGGGACGAAGGAAAATATGCAGAGCTGTTGAAATGAAAATATGCTCTTAGTGGTTTGCATAACAACCACTACTAGTACTCACCACCAGCATATTACTTATCCTGACATAGAGTTGCAAAACTGTGTTAACGTTCTCAAACTTCTCAGGTTTTCCAGTAATCCTGGTTGGAGTATTCCAGATGTACTGTTTATTCCCACCTAAATTCTGGAAATCTTCCAACTGTAATTTCTGGAAAATCTGGGGATTTTGGGAAGGTTCCCAGAATTTTGCAACCCAATCATGACATGTAAAAAGGCTCAGGTTTTAGTAGATGGTGGACAAATATTGTGGCAATCATTACAACGATATGTTTTGATTATGAGGGTAAAAGGGTTCATTTGATGTTGTAACTGTGACATATGAGACAGATAGCATCTACATGTTTTTTTCTATTTAATTAATAGAAATCCCTTCTTGATATAAAATATTAAAGAAATTAAAAAGGCTGAAGTTTGACTTCAATTACTTAGACAATGCACACATTAAGACAATATTACTGCTCCTGTATGAATTGAGTTCAGTGTCATCTAGTAAATATTTTATTTGCTCTTTTAGCATTTGTCTCACTAAAGCTGATGAAACAACCAAACAAAGAACAGGTACATAATGTAAAATGTATGGTGATATACAAAGTTTCTACAACAGGATACGTTAAGACGACATCTCCGAAGGAAGAAGTAAAGAGTGTCTACAACTGTCTGCAGCACAATTCTACAACACAGTGCGTTAGCTAAATAAGTTACAGGTTGGACGAAATACCAAGAGAATTGTTCTAACAATATCGTAAACAGCGGTGCAAGAGATGCAGTCAAAGTCAAACGTAACATTTCTTCCTAATTCTGATTACTGTTAAGATATGGAGTTTGTGTGGACTATAAAAAAATGTTTTTGGCAAGTTGTGTTTTTTTCCAAATACATCCGCAACAGTGCATGTCAGGAATGCAAAGATTGCTAGTGCAATAACAGCGATAAAGCACAGCCAATATTGCTAAATGAAATGTGTTCATATGTTTCTCAAACTTAAGTTGTGTAAAAAAAAAAAAATGGGTAGCTCTAAAGCGATATACGGTACTCAAATGCCCAGGTAATAGTTTCTTCCTTGAAGAACGTGACTATTAGTTCAATATTCCTATGTCTTTAAAGTGATAGTCACCTAATATCCAAGACTATTGGCAGTCTTTTAAATGCCCTGTAAGCCATCTTTGGATGCCAAAATGTGTCCCACCAAGAGTGTTTAAAATAAATACAATGTGCCACTTTAAGAGCACTGAGCCCAACCAGTCCCTTTTCTCCTGTGTGTTGTCCAGGAAACCAAACTGCCTGCTGGACGTCTTTAAAGGCCATTAGGTCTCCTCTCCCTCTGCACCAACGAGGAAGAAGCTCAACAGTCTGCTTTAATTTTGTCCAGAGAGTTGTCGATTTTTGTCAGAGTCTTTTTGATGCGTAGCGCCGTTAATCTGGCAGAGGGATTCTGATACCAGCACTCCTTCATAAGTTTCGCGATGGACGTTAAAGTCTGGAAAAGAAGAAGAGAATCTGAACAAATCTATTAAAAAGTCCCACTCCAGCTGTTTTTAATATTTTCCCATTTAAAAATGCCCTGAATATAAGTATAGTAATTTAACACACAAAAAAAGACATTGAGCAAAATACTGTTTTTAAGCCTCAACTGCGAAAGTCTATAGTTCCGCAAAGGGTAAAGCAATTATTCTTAAAGGCTAGAATTTAACTGCCCATCAGACCGTATTATGTATTCAATGGAGCTGGGAAATGAGGTGGGCGACTGACAGGCTGTTTTCAAAGACTCACAAGTGAACTGAACGTCTGATGAAGCAGGACAACCTAGCAGGCAGTGCTGCATTCTGCACAGCTTCTAAATTGACAAATTTGGAGCGGGTCCTATTCTCCATGACAACATATTAGCTAGTTCTCTCTCCACCAGTAAACATTTAACTCGGATCGCCTCGTCTGGTCTCTGTGTACTCACTGGGTCTGAGAACCATCTGTTGGGGATGTTGGGTCTCTGCTGGTCCACACACACAACCTTCTTCATGTCTTCAAAGCTGGGGTCGCTGGGCACCACATCATGGAAGGGAGGCTTGTAGTCCTCTACAATGCCTACACACAGAGTATGAGGGTAAATACACAACACAGATGTCCATAAGATCTCACAATCATCAGCATGGCAATTTAAAGTAAGTAAAAAAGGTCACAAACACAATACGTGAGATAGCACAGGTAATTGCTAACAAAGTACTTTGTTTTGATAGTTGCTCTCACTTGCTACTGTGTACCAGGTGGAAAGCCATGGGGAAAGTAAGGTTGCGGTGTCCTGCATTAACCAATACCCTGTGTGTGGCTGTCAGCCAGGCTCAACTATAAATAACCATGAAACCATTTAACTGGGAGTGGAGAAAGCAGGATCCATTTCAGATAAGACGCCAGCACCTCTAGTCCCAGACTAGACCACAGACACATGGGGAGAGTTGTCTGTCACTCCACATTCAATCATTTAATCAATGAGACACTGATTAAGTCTCAGGACTTGAATCATTGGCTTGTTCTGCAACTTTGTGCTTAGCAAAGTGATATATATGGCAGTTATGCTATCAGATTGCTAAAGACTTTCTGCGAGAGGAACACTTCCTCTGAAGTGGTGAAATCAATCCTAAAAAATCCAGCTAGACACTAAATTATGTTTTACATATTTGTATAGGATTTTACTACGCCCTGACAGGGACATCAGAGAATATTCCAAGACAAGCATTCATATGCAGACAGGCAGGTAACAGACAGATATATACAGCAGCTCTGTATGATGCAACTACTATAGGAAAGATGCTTTGTCATATTGTCCTAAATGCATGACATTCTAGATTGTTTTTTTTATTCTACCTTTTTACTGGATACTTTTTAGTTTCTGCCCTGTTTGAGAGGAGAGCTTGCATTAATTATTTAATTGTACTGTGTACACTATGCTGTATTCTGTGCATATGACAAATCAACGTTGATTGGATGGTAGATTAATAAAGGAGTGAGAGAGAACAGAAGAAACCATGCAGCATGTATTGTACTGACCGTTGCTGACCGTCCTCCTGGCAATCTCCCACAGGACCAGGCCAAAGGCCCAGATGTCCACTCTTTTGAAGGACTCAAAGCAGTCCATCTGGATGGAGTCGTCCAGGACCTCTGGAGCCATGTAGCGCTTCGTGCCCACTTTAGGGTTGTTTCCCACGTCTAACTCATTTGTGTCTTGGAAATGCATCACAGCGAGACCTGGGACAAAAAACAGGCTTCTGTTTATCAAAAATGTCCAAAATAATTAAAATACAAAAATCACATAGCAAAATCATTTACATATGATATTATATCTAAGTAAATAACCCAAAATGAATATATCCAAAGTAGAGAACACTGTCCTCTAGTGGATTTGAACAAAATAGCAATGTAAAACAACCCGTTAGCTTAGGACTGTTGTCAAAAACAACCCTATTTTTCCAACAACATCAAATAACAAAAATAACTCATTATCTTGATTGTGAGTAGAAACAACATAACATTCCATAAACAACTTAACAGCAGTGACGGTTGTGATCGTAGTAGTAGTCTCAATTAGTAGCAGTAGGTTGCAAGTGCCACCTGAAATAGCTCACATCATTAGCACAGAGAACATTGTGAGTATGCAACATGGTGCACAAGAGTACCCCTTAATGCATTTTTGGTTAAGATTTAAAGAGCCACCGGCTCTGCTGTTCTTCCTCTAATGATCAACAAACATGGAGGGAACAGGGTTGGAGTGTTTGGTGGCATAGCCTACTAGCAAAGAAGCTCATACCACCATCTTTCCAACAACAAACAGAACATCCTCTCCACCCACAGTAGATGTGGACAACATGGCCCGCTATTTATTTTTATCACAATACATAATATGGACACAATGACAGAAAACGGTCATGTGAAAAACAACCTCTAGTGAACAACAACCTATACACATTTTGAATGAATGAATGTCACAATACATATGCTTTATATCCGGAAGCCTATGCTCTTACCCAGGTCAGCGATGCAGCACTGGCCGTTCTTGTTGACAAGTATGTTTTTGCTCTTGAGGTCTCGGTGGGCGATGGCCGGCTTTCCCTGGGTACCGAAGATCTCCACGTGGAGGTGCGCCAGGCCGCTGGCGATGGACAAGGCCATGCGGAGACAGCTGGCTGTGTCCAGAGTGCTCAGCTGCAAGTAGTCGTACAGCGAGCCCATCTCGTGGAAGTGGGTGATCAGCCACAGCTGGGTGCTCGAGTTTCGGGAAGTCATGTCCGAAGCGATGAAGCCTGCAGTCAAAGGCACACACAGACAGATGCAGACGCACAGACACACACAGAGTTGTTAGAACTCAGGGAAAGGAGGGGTAAAAAATCAATATGACACAGACATTGTCACTAAGATGCAACACTAAAACACTGCCGGACACATAGTATTTGCTCCTAAGTCATATTTTCTTAGTCTCCCATTGACATCAATGCATGACTAAGTGAAAATTTGCCTTGAGTGGAAGTTTGGATTTGTCCCATAGAGAACAGCTCCTGTCCAGAACATGGCTGGAGGTACGTACCCAGAATGTTCTGGTGCCTCAGCAGCACTGTGTTGTAGATCTCAGTCTCTCTGAACCAGGACTTCTCATCTCTGGATGAGAAGATCTTCACGGCCACACTCTCCCCCTGCCATTGGCCCCGCCACACCTCACCATAGCGCCCCTTACCTATAATAGGGGGAAGAAAATAGGAAAAAGATTAGAGTAAAGCAGACATTGTGAACGTCAGAAATTTCACCCTATTCTAAAAATTGTGCACTACTTTTGACCAGAGTCATATGGGCCCTGGTTAAAAGTAGTGTACTATATAGGGAAGAGGGTGCCATTTCATACAGCCATTTTTAATGAATTACTGAAAATGTGATTCATCAAATACAGTGTGAAAATATTAACCCTCTCTAACAGGAATACAGTGATCCCTCGCCACTTCGCGGTTCACTTATCGCGGATTCGCTATTTCGCGGATTTTCATAATGCATTTTTTTTTTTTTGGTGCATTGTGCTCTGCATTCTGATTCGCTAAAAACTCACTCCCGCTTCTTGTATCAAAACATGCTACGAATTGTGCTATCATTTTGTCGTCTCGTGCAGTTATGTGTACGTACATAAAACAGCTTGGCAAATTTACATTAAGTTGGCCAAATTATCTTGTAATTTCGAACATCTCCTAAACCCATAATGTCGACGAAACGGCCTGGACCGACAAAAGCACCTGCGGATGGGCCCAAACGGCGGAAGATGCTACCTATCTCAGATAAAGTTAAACTTCTGGACATGCTAAGGGAAGGTAAATGACAAAGCCACAAAGCGACGATGAAAGAGAAGAGGGAGAAGAGGACACGAGAGATGAGGAGGAAGGACTAACGCTTGGTCGCTTAGCAACCATGGTGCGAATGGCCACTGAACTTAAGCGAGTAGCTGAGGAATGGGACCCTTTGATGAGCCGTTCATTACAGTTCTCCAACGTAATCGATGGTGGCATGTCGGTGTACAAGGATCTTTTTGCAAAGAAGAAAAAAGAGCGACAACAGCTGCCTATCACTATGTTCTTCTCCCGAACAAACACACCTGCACCGCGGGCTTCAGAAGAAGAGAACACTGCAGAGCGCAGTCAGGATGCAGCGGCCCAGTCTGAAGAGCAGTGAAACGGCCTACACGTGAGTCACTGTATTTGTATACATGTAATAGTTGCTAATTGTAAAAAAAAAAAGTTTTCTATTTCGCGGATTTCACTTATCGCGGGTCATTTTCGGAACGTAACCCCCGCGATAAACGAGGGATTACTGTAAACCCAATGTTCATCTCCAACGCAAATGTCAGATTATCTCAGGCTGTCATGTAACAATTATGAAATCTTTGTAAAAATGTATTTAGAGATAGTTTCACTGATTTAAATTTATTTTATAAGGTAGTATTACACAACATTCTAGACCATTAGTTACTGGAACACATAGTGCAATTGTATTTTGGTCATACTACTCAACCTTGACCTTTTGCATAAACTATATCAAGGGATGTAGCTCAGTTGATAGAGCATGGCGTTTGCAACGCCAGGGTTGTGGGTTCGATTCCCACGGGGGGCCAGTATAAAAAAAAATATGTATTCACTAACTGCTCTGGATAAGAGCGTCTGCTAAATGACTAAAATGTAAAACTACAGGTACTGTAATTGCCAAAATAAAGGAAACACTTCAGTAAATTAGAGATCCTAAGTATATTGAAAGCAGGTACTTCCACACAGTTGTGGTTCCTGAGTTAATTAAGCAATTAACCCATCATTAATCCCATCATGCTTAGGATAATGTATAAAAATGCCCAGTTGCCCATTATTTTGGCTACCACGGCTAGAAGAGATCTCAATGACTTAGAAAGAGGGGTTTCAAAAGAGCATTGGGGTTTAAAGTATGTGGGTCTAAGTCACCAGATCTCAACCCAATTGAACACTTATGGGAGATTCTGGAGCGGCGCCTGAGACAGCGTTTTCCACCACCATCAACAAAACACCAAACAATGGAATTTCTTGTGGAAGAATGGCGTCGCATCCCTCCAATAGAGTTCTAGACACTTGTAGAATTTATGCTAAGGCACATTGAAGCTGTTCTGGCGGCTTGCGGTGGCCCAGCGCCCTATTAAGACACTATGTTTGTGTTTCCTTTATTTTGGCAGTTACCTGTATATCCCCATTTGACATTAAATGAAACATGTTTGTTAAAAATATTTTTGTTGGCAGTTTATACTCGACTCACAAATCAAATGTGTGCAACGTTGGTTTAGGGAGTTGGGTGTTACATTGGCCATCTGGCCATGTTTCAGACCCAACTCGAGGAAAACTAAGAGAAATATTAAGTGACATACTGAAATCTCTCAGGGTCAGAGAACAGCAGTGGCTCTGTTTTGCAACACAAATCTCTGTTCCAACGGTGCTACACTTTAAGATGTCTTAAAAAAAACATTTACTCCAAAACCTGCACTGAGGCTAAACGTACGCCTTAGCCACTGAACAAAGACAGAACAGGCTCTGATTGGATACTGACCCACACACTCATTGAGCGTGATTTGTCGGGCGACAGTTCTCTGAACGAGGAAGGGGAGTCCGGAGCCGCTTCCCGACGTGCACGAGTGGTCCAGCAAATCCTAGGAGAGAGAAGAGGGACAGACAATAAATGAACTGCAACCAGAGGAATTTGATCAGCCTGTACTCTCTCTAGATGAAGGTGGCCCAGCCCACAACACAGCAGAGCATTTGGGATTCAGATGGGGAGTTAATACGGTCGGCCCCCCTCCCTCTGATGTGGCCCACGTTGGGGAGGCTGAGTGGAATTTGTTGCTGCTTAGTGCTCAGACTCCAAATGCTAGCTAGTTGGCTGTCTGTCTGTGTGCATGTCTGTCTGACCATCCTGGAGATGCTGACAAGCAAGCAGTCTTTCTGTCTGTCTGTCTGTCTGTCTGTCTGTCTGCACGTCTGTCTGCCTGCCTGCCTGTCTGTCTATACGTCCATCTGCCTGCCTGTCTGTACGTCTGTCTGTACGTCCGTCTGCCTGTCTGTACGCCCGCCTGCGCGTCCGTCTGCCCGCCTGCCTGTTTGTCTGTCAGTCAATCAGTCTGTGCGTCTGTCAGTCTGTGCGTCTGTCAATCTGTCAGTCTGTCAGTCTGTCAGTCTGTCCGTCTGTCCGTCTGTCAGTCTGTCCGTCTGTCCGTCTGTCCGTCTGTGCGTCTGTCAGTCTGTGCGTCTGTCAGTCTGTGCGTCTGTCAGTCTGTGCGTCTGTCAGTCTGTGCGTCTGTCCGTCTGTCCGTCTGTCAGTCTGTCAGTCTGTCCGTCTGTCCGTCTGTCCGTCTGTGCGTCTGTCAGTCTGTGCGTCTGTCAGTCTGTGCGTCTGTCAGTCTGTGCGTCTGTCAGTCTGTGCGTCTCTCAGTCTCTCAGTCTGTCAGTCTGTCAGTCTGTCAGTCAGTCTGTCAGTCTGTCAGTCTGTCAGTCTGTCAGTCTGTGCGTCTGTCTGTCTAGCCACCCTGGAGCAGCAGAGGGCCCTCTGCTGGGTAAACAACAGCAGTCCCTGGTGATTAGTGAGCTGAGGGATCTGAGAGATTTGATCTAATCCCAGCCCCAGACTCCAAACAGACGCAATGCTGCTAAGCCTTTTATTTGTATCTCCTCTCCAGGCATCAGCAGGGTGTCATGGCTGACACAAGGGGGCAGTGTTCAGCAACTCTATCAAATACTGCTGAGAAAAACAAACTAACAAGCAGAGAGGACTAAAACTAAAAAAGATAGATACCACACGCATAAAACACATGCTGTGTGCAATTTGGGAATGGAGAAAAATACTAAACAGAAGCCGTTAAACCAATGACAACTTATTTTGTTTTGAATTAAAGTCCCTGTTTATTGGGGGGCAGATCTGGGCAGTTCTGTTGAAGGGGGGGAATTAAGCCACAGCATTACCACAATCACCACAGACTTAGGCTTCCAGGGCTACTGAGGGAGACCTACGGGTTTTTCTTTTTTTACTGCCACCACAGTTTCTAATAACTTTTCTCCGGGTGCTGTCAAGCACTTTTTAATTATACTGAAACAAACATTATGCGGCAGCATATTTGGGGTTTACATTGCCAAGTGCTCTGATGGGCTTTGGAAATAGCTAGAAATAAATCCATCATCAGCAATTCCTCTAGCACACCTCAGCCCAGTGTTATCAGTGAGAATGGTCACCCCGATGTAAACATTCAGCCTGTTTAGTGTTTTCCTTCAAGTTTTTAATAAAAAATAGATGGGATTGGTCTGGGTCTTGAGGTGGGTAGATTGCTGAAGTTGATCAAACAAATGCTGATTACAGTTGCAAACTCAAAGCATTATTTCACTAGAGTAGCCAACATTCTTCAAAACAAAATGGGCCATTTTGTTGAAATCATGTGTATCCGTGAAACACATGCTCTCAATATGCTCTGGTAAAACAATACCCATCTTTTCCATCACAGTGGTAGAACAAATTATTTCATTCACAATTCCGAGGGCAGAAATGTAATCCTGGCCGGGTTGATATAAGTCTACAACATGAACACCCAGGAACATGGAGTGCATGACTACCTAACACACATTCTCTAGTCTAGTGCACACACAAGTGCTCTTTGGGCTCAACATAATTCCATAGTTTGAGAGTGCATAAATGTGTTCCGTGCTGGACTGCGTGGATTCAAACCATACTAACCACAGCTCCCCACCGAGCCCAGGCCTGGCATGCTCTAGTACAGGGTTGCAATGTCCCAACATTCCCTGGTTTTCCACAAATCCTGGTTAGAAGAAGCCCGGAATCAGAAGGGAATAAGCAGGAAATCCTCCAACCAGGATTGCAGGAAAACTTAGTAATTTTGGAAAAGTTACCAGAATTTTGCAACCCTAAGTATGATTATGTCTTACTCACCGCCAGTGTGCTCTCCCCCACATTAGAGGCTATGAGGCCGTCTATGGTGCCGTACTCAGCTTCCCGGGCCGTCAGCCTCTCCATCTGGTTCTGGTGGATGCGTCTGAACACCAAGATGGCAATGCCTGAGAGGACAATGAGCACGATGACTGGAGCCACGATGACGATGGCCAGTGTAGTCAAGCTGTAGTTGGGCAGGTCGCTTGCTACGAGGATGGGAAAGAGGTTTAGGTTTATTTGAACATCCTGGTACATACTGTATGTAGAAACATGAATCAAATGTGATGTCATACAATATATAAAACACAGTTAAAAAGATATGATCTGCCTAAATATATGGGAAACAGACACAAGGAAGAGGGTGTGGGTTTTTCGTCCCAGCACTCAACTGTCCAAGTCAAATTTCCCCTCAGGGACAATAAAGTATATCATATCAGAACCAGATGAAGACAAAAAAAATCTCCAGCACCAAAATCCCCTTTAAACACAAACTACATACATCCAGTACCGTGTTTGGACTACGAATTTGAAATCTGCAGTACAACCAAAGTTCCTCCTCAGTTCAGCTTAGCCAGGTGAGCAGTGAGCCCAGCTGCCCCGGGGATCCAACACAGCGTTTACTAAAGCCCTAAGCTTTGGGAGGCATCATTCAAGTTGAGGCGATGATAATTAGGCATGTTAAAGAACCCATTCTCTCCCTCCTCCGCCTGCCTGCTCTGCTTTGACCACACAGACTGAGGAACCTGGCTCCAGGGCTGAGGGGGAGAGACAAAATGGACACAGGCAGGCAGGGAGGCCGAGGTAAGAGCACACTGCAGCATACATCCACGGGTGGGTAGGCCACATATCAACAGGCTGCCTGGGGAGCTGACTGACTACCACACACTCCACACTCCAAACATTCCAGGGAGAAAAGACTGCCGAGCCCGCAGCGCAGACAATGCTCCCTCTTTTCTCTCTTGCATACTGAACTCCTTCTCCTTCGCATGGCACTCTTGGGGAGTGGAATTCAATGAAGCTAACCTAGATCAGAATAGACAGTATAGAAAACAACTGATTTTAGACCGAGATTATGGCACATCGAGTGTCAATATTTTCTACTGTTCTTGTGTTTAAGTCTGACCCATGTAAAATGTTATCGCAGAAACATTGTTGCTTTTGGTAGATGGTAAGATCTTCTTGTGTGTTTAACAAAAACAGGGACTAACCTCAAAGAAATATTGATATTTAGGAAATAATTCATTTTTATACATACTCTTTTTACTGTGGATAGGAGAGGAGAGTCATTGAATTTCAGAGAACAGAGCTATACATTTCATTCAGGCTGTGTCCCAAATGGCACCCTATTCCCTGGTCAAAAGTAGTGCACCATGTAGGGAATATGGTGCCAATTGGGACGCAGACTCAGTGTCCTCTCCTTTCCCGGGGGGCTCTGCTATACACTGCCTTACAGGTCTGTGTCAGGCAGCGAAAACAATCTCAGAGAGGACATAGGAGGAAGTAGACCATGACTAAACAAAATTCAAACGTTTGTCTTTTTTCTCAGACTGTCCCCTCCTCTGCTGTGGAGGTGCTCAGGGTGTAACCGCCACACAGGCCTGAAATGCAGACCAAGCAGACCAATAGAGGACCATGCAGCAAACGGCTATGGCAGACAATTTCATGCACCGCAGCATCGCGTCCTCGCTGGAGAATGGCCAAGTAGACAGAATCAATAGAGCACCTGCCTCTTCACGTCAGTCAACCGATCACAGACAGCAGATCACTGAGAGCATACGGCCCAAAAATGTTGTTTTCTTGGCAGTAGTTCTCCGTATACGGGTTAAAAATAGCTGATATTGACACTGACAAGCACCTAAATTGGAAGGCAGTTGCTGTAAAGTACTACGCTATACATGACGTCAGAGCTCAAGGTCTACGCTTCACAGCCCAGTAATGGTTTTGACTGACAGCAGTTCTGAACACCACGCGCAAAAAGAATTTGCCCCCATTTGGGCAACTTTTGCTAATGTTTTGTTGTTTGAGTGAGGGAAATGCTGTAAATAAAGAGGACTTGATGTACTTTGAAAGATGAGACGTTGAGGATTATAATAATTACCGCTTTGATGTCAGACAAGCAAGCCAAACAGCCGTTAGTCCAAACGTGCACTTCACATTTCCATATTATACAACTCATGTAATATACTGGAAACCATGTGTTTGCTGTATTTTCTACCATTCCACTGATTCCGCTCCAGTCATTACCACGAGCCCGTTCTCCCCAATTAAAGTGCCTCAAACAACCTGTGATGCGCACCAAAATTACAATCTGCTTCACTGAATTGCCTTGTGAAAGCCTAACACTGTAAGAATATATTTTGTAATTTAGCTAGTCATGTTAGCAATAGAACACGCTTTCATATTATGCCCACCTGACCAGATTGCGATTTATAAATGGACCGTTTTCGGAATATTTAAATAACAGTAATTGTGTAGAGTAATTGTGTAGAGTGCTCTCACCACGTGCTCTCACCACTGGTGTCCCCCAGGGCTCAGTTCTAGGCCCTCTCCTTTTCTCCCTATACACCAAGTCCCTTGGCTCTGTCATATCCTCACATGGCCTCTCCTATCATTGCTACGCTGACGATACACAACTAATCTTCTCCTTTCCCCCTTCTGATAACCAGGTGGCGAATCGCATCTCTGCATGTCTGGCAGACATATCAGTATGGATGACGGATCACCACCTCAAGCTGAACCCTGGCAAGACGGAGCTGCTCTTCCTCCCGGGGAAGGACTGCCCGTTCCATGATCTCGCCATCACGGTTGACAACTCCGTTGTGTCCTCCTCCCAGAGTGCGAAGAGCCTTGGCGTGACCCTGGACAACACCCTGTCGTTCTCCGCTAACATCAAGGCGGTGACCCGATCCTGCAGGTTCATGCTCTACAACATTCGGAGAGTACGACCCTGCCTTACACAGGAAGCGGCACAGGTCCTAATCCAGGCACTTGTCATCTCCCGTCTGGATTACTGCAACTCGCTGTTGGCTGGGCTCCCTGCCTGTGCCATTAAACCCCTACAACTCATCCAGAATGCCGCAGCCCGTCTGGTGTTCAACCTTCCCAAGTTCTCTCACGTCACCCCCCTCCTCCGCACACTCCACTGGCTTCCAGTTGAAGCTCGCATCCGTTACAAGACCATGGTGCTTGCCTATGGAGCAGTGAGGGGAACGGCACCTCTGTACCTTCAGGCTCTGATCAGTCCCTACACCCAAACGAGGGCATTGCGTTCATCCACCTCTGGCCTGCTGGCTCCCCTTCCTCTGCGGAAGCATAGTTCCCGCTCAGCCCAGTCAAAACTGTTCGCTGCTCTGGCACCCCAATGGTGGAACAAGCTCCCTCACGACGCCAGGACAGCGGAGTCACTCACCACCTTCCGGAGACATTTGAAACCCCATCTCTTTAAGGAATACCTGGGATAGGATAAAGTAATCCTTCTACCCCCCCCCCCCCCCCCCCAAAAAAAAAAAAAAATGTAAAGTGGTTATCCCACTGGCTATAGGGTGAATGCACCAATTTGTAAGTCGCTCTGGATAAGAGCGTCTGCTAAATGACGTAAATGTAAAATGTAAATGTAGAGGCGGGGATGCAGGGTTGTGTTCCAAAGAAAACAACTACAAGTCTGCTTGCTATAGTTCCTCAACGGCACAGCTAGGCGAGCTCAAAATAGCACCTTATCATTGAAGACTCTTCTTTGAGTCATAAAAGTGCATTGAAATTACGTAGGAACTGTGCACATTTTGGATAGGTGTGTGGCCACTTGGAGACACCAGTTAGACCTCTCACTCAAATCCTTGGCATTTTTTGCTCTTATGTTTATGCACCAAATTTTCCAGGAATATTCTTATCATGTTACTGAATGTATCCAGAGTATTTTCAGATTTCGATATCAACAAACGCGGCCAAAAGTACAGTAAATGTAAAATGCACATAAAATCAACAGTGTAATATTTGGATTCAGTCTTTTGTCAGATTAACTGTTTTGTTCTCACCTTTAGTCTAATAATTTCCCCATAATCTACAAACTGTTCCCTTTTTGATTGCTACCATGGTTATGCATATGCTTTCCATATTTCTTCTGTAAGAAACATTTAAATGTAGCCCTATCCACATAGGCCAATGCAAGGGGTTTAAGGGGTTAATAACCTTGGTTTGAATGCAAATGTGCATCACACAGACCTCCATTAGAATACAGATGCATATGAATGAATGTGTGCCATTGTGTGTGTCCCAAATAGGGTGCCAAGTGGCCAGTGTATTTATTTACCTATAACAGGCAGCTCCACAGTGATGTTCATGTTACACAGGTGGCCCTGGCAGCACTCCACAATCTGGTCGCGGGAGGGCGGCGTCTTGCAGGTCATCCTGCTCTGCTCGTACACCTTGAAGCAGCCCTTCTGGAAGACCAGGGCTCCGTCGCTGACCGTCAGACTGGAGAAACAGTGCTGGCCCATGCAGCGCTGCCCGGTGGCACACGACCGCCCCTTGCACACACACTCGTGCTCGCCGGCGGACTTCACTTTCTCCTCTGGACAGGAAACAGAAATTCAGAATTATTGCTCATGGATTAGGGTGAAGTTGACCCTAAACGCTGATCTTGGGTCAGTTTGTATTTACCCACTAATGGTTAAGTTTAGGAATGGGGGAGGGGAAGCTGATCCTAGAGCTGTACTTAGTGGAAACTTCACCTTGGAGCTAGTCACCATACTAACATTTGCTTTCCCTTCAACCCTATCTCTATGATACACTATACAAAAGTATGTGGACACCCCTTGAAATCAGTGGATTCGGCTAGTTCAGCCACACCCGTTGCTGACAGGTATATAAAATCGAGCACACGGCCATGCAATCTCCATAGACAGACATTGGCAGTAGAATGGCCTTACTGAAGAGCTCAGTGACTTTCAACGTGGCACCGTCATAGGATGCCACCTTTCCAACAAGTCAGTTCTTAACATTTCTGCCCTGCTAGAGCTGCCCCGGTCAACTGTAAGTGCTGTTATTGTGAAGTGGAAACGTCTAGGAGCAACAACAGCTCAGCCGCGAAGTGGTAGGCCACACAAGCTCACAGAACGGATTTGGCGGATGCCAGGAGAACGCTACCTGACCCAATGCATAGTGCCAACTGTACAGTTTGGTGGAGGAGGAATAATGGTCTGGGGCTGTTTTTCATGCTTTGGGCTAGGCCCCTTAGTTCCAGTGAAAGGGAAATCTTAACGCTACAGCATACAATGACATTCTAGACGATTCTGTGCTTCCAACTTTGTGGCAACAGTTTGGGGAAGGCCCTTTCCTGTTTCAGCATGACAATGGCCCCGTGCACAAAGCGAGGTCCATACAGAAATGGTTTGTCGAGATTGGTATGGAAGAACGTGACTGGCCTGCACAGAGCCCTGACCTCAAACCCATCGAACACCTTTGGGATGAATTGGAACGCCGACTGCGAGCGAGGCCTAATCACCCAACATCAGTGCCCGACCTCACTAATGCTCTTGTGGCTGAATGGAAGCAAGTCCCCGCAGCAACGTTCCATCATCTAGTGGAAAGCCTTCCCAGAAGAGTGGAGGCTGTTATAGCAGCAAAGGGGGGTACCAACTCCATATTAATGCCCATGATTTTGGAATGAGATGTTCGACGAGCAGGTGTCCACATACCTTTGGTCATGTAGTGTATCGTCATAAATATTAAATCACCTCTATGATATGCGTACCTATCTTCTTAAAAAATAAGTTGTAAGTGATTGCTAAATGACTAAAATGTAAATGTAATATATCTTTACGTCTAAAAACTAAAATAAGTGAGAGATGGAGCTTCAGTGAGGCCAAGATGATGAAAAATTTTGAAATTATTTAAGTGAAAACAGGGTGGTGCGTTACCTTTCGCTGGTGCTTCCACGGTGACGTTCATGTTACACAGGTGCCCCTGGCAACACTTGACTATGTGGCTGGGAGAGGGAGGGGTGGCGCAGGTGGCTCTCCCCTGGTCGTCATCCTGAAGGCAGCCCTTCTGGTGAACCACATACCCGTCACTGATCTTCACAGAGGAGAAACACTGCTGGCTCGTACAGCGCTCTCCTCCCTCACACGACCGTCCCTCACACACACACTCATTGTCTTGCAAGGTAGGCAGCACTTCCTCATCTGTTCAATAAAAAAGGGAGATCAGCGAAATCCATGAAACCTTGTAATTCTCATTCATTTAAACAAATATCAAATATAACGACTCTTTCGGTAGTTTTGTTTATGCAGCATTTCACTAATGTACCCAAATGGCCTTCAAGCAAATGAAAAACGAAATGTAAATGTGTTATTAACTAAATCATTATGCAAAGTGGTGATGTTATGGCAGGTAGATATTTGTAGTGGTAATGTGAGTGACTCAGCATGCTGATAGTGTTGAGGGAGGGCTAAAAGCATGTGTAATGATTTCAATGAAAACAATGTGTCACCTTTCTCTGGGTCTGCCACTGTGACATTCATGTTACAAAGGTCGCCATGGCAGCACTCCACAGTCAAGTTATGGGATGGGGGGCTTTCGCAACTTATGGACCCTTCGCCACGGCTCACAATGCACCCCTTCTGTCGGAAGGACGTGGCGTTCTGGATGGAGACGGCCGAGAAGCACTGCTGGCCAATACACCGGTCTGCCCTGTCGCATGACGGCCCGTCGCACAAACACTCATAGTTGCCCTTATCTGCACAGTCATAAGACCAGACAGACATTCTTAGTATTCTCCATTCATTTCAAACTCAAACTAACAAAATCACAACACATACTGAGGGATATAACTGAAAATAAACACATTTAACCATCAACAGAGGCATAAAATATGCAGACATTCGGCATTGTTAATATGTGAATATTGTGGTCATGTTAGTGCAGGAGCTTTGCTATGTTCAACCTCCCTCATTCTTATAATGAGCATGTTATCATTTAGCTGCTCCACTACAGTAGGCGATGCAGAATAATAAGTATCCCCAGCCAGCCAGACCGTGACACTGAGAAATCCTCAGTTCTCCCAGAGCCCAGTCTGCAAGCCTGTCACCGCAGTTGTTAAAAAAATGCTGCGAGACAGCGGGGGAGAGGGAGAGAGACAAAGCACGCCCTCGACAGAAAAATGTAAACTCACTACGCAGATTCGGAGCCGTGTACTTGGCCGAATGTATGGGAAATGGTACTGAATGCGTGTAATCTCTGAAGCGGCTACCTAATGTACCCAAATCTCTTTGTTCGTGAGAATAGCCATGTTTTTGTATTAAGGAAAGGTGTCAAAATCTTACCTTCCACACTGGAAGAGGTTAAAACCAGAAGTATGAAAACCAGAATAAACATGTCGCCATCTAACATTGCAGACCTGGAAGAGACAGAAGTTGTGATTAGACGACCATATGACATTGTAATAATGTGTTCACTAAACACAGACCTTCAAAATAGCTTACAATTTAGAATGTTCTCAGAAAGATACAAGATACATACATTTATTTGTGTCACATAATTTTGACAATCAACTTCTATGTAAATGCCTTTGTTATGTCCACTAAAATGATTTCAAGCCATTGCTGTGACAGGATAAAAGGAAAGAAAGAAAGAAAGAAAGAAAGAAAGGGAGGGGTTTAGATTTAAGAGCGCCATCATAGATGGGAATTTTACTGAGAGAGAAAGACCTTTCCTTGTTTTCAGTAAAGAGTCAACACCAAGTTTAAAATGCTCAAGTAAAGTGGGTCTCATGCCTTCCTGTTGTCCTGGCAACAAGGTGTTGAGTGGCAAGCAATGGGGAGACTGGTGCGCTCCTATTGGCTGAGCTGTGCCTGTGAGAGAGAGACAGCCTGCTTGGCAGCGAGGGGAGCAGACAGACGCGGGAGGAGAACGAGGAGGATGGGAGAGGGGCACCGCACGGCGCACCAATGTGGGAGCCCAAATAGAAACATTTCCAATGAGGAGGCTGTCTTTAAACCTTCAATATGTGTCTTAAGGCACATCCACATACATGTACATTTATGTCTGTTTGATTTCGGCTGTGATCTGTCTGATTCAAGCCGGGCCCACCACACTCTGCAGCAACACAGCCGTACTCCATAAAAATAGGATGCACGTTTTCAAAAACTATTCCTGTACTAATTCCACACTGATAAGATTTGATGCTTGTTGTTGTGGGAGGATATCGCCCTCCAATTCCGCCACCTATTCCCCATGCAGCGTGTTTATGACATACTAAGCCCGGGCTGACCGTTATCTTGGCAGTGTTTGTGTCTGCCCACTGATAAATACCCTAGTGTGTTTTCCCAAAGCCTTTGTGCCCGCTCCCAGACATAAATGTTAGCATTCCCCCAATGCCGTCTGTATGGCCCCACTCACACAGACCACATGCTGCTCCTTTAATCAGAGCACAAAACAGAGGCTGCCACTGAGAGATAATCAGGGGCTCTGTGCATAGCAGAGTGGGGGCAGGGAGGGGTCAGGAGGACTGAGGGTGGTACCCAGGGGGCACACAAGTATGGCCAGGGGGCAACGAGAGAGCAGGGGGACAGAGGGAGGGCACTGAGGAAGAAAGGAGGGCGGCAGATGGATAGGGGGACGCACAAAAAACGAGGACAGGTCACAGACTGGTAAGGGAGGACAATGAGGGGGTAGGCTGGTTAAGGTGGACAGTATAGTTTGGTTAGGCTTTAGTTAAGGTTGCAAAATTACGGCAATTTTTCCAAAATTCCTGGTTGGAGGATTCTGGATGTCCTGCATAATCCCTCCTGGTTGCGGCAATTTTGGAGAAAGTTACTAGAATTCTGCAACCCTAGTTAAGGTGAGAACAAACACGGTGCAGCAGCATATAGGGATGGCATAAAATGACACAGATCTCCCCAACACCCTGATACAGGATGCTGCCCTCCAGGCACTTAACATCCATCCCTGACAGATCAATATATCACCTCAATTATCTGCCTAGTGCATCTCAGCCACTTCCACTTAATCTGCTCAATCACTAGCCTTTAACTAAATGGGAGTGCTTCAGTCGGTCTCTTTCACATAAAAAAATAAAATAAATCATTGTCTGTCTGCAGTCTGCCTCCATACAAAGACGAGAATGCTACATTTTTTGGAGGATAGCCTAACTTTTGCAGCATATCAAAGGCAAAACCCTTACGCCATCTTGCGAGGACAGCTAGCAGCAATGCCTGTGTTGAATAACAAACCGGGTCGTGCAAGACAGAGGCAGACTGATTTTATGCAATATTTGTGTTGAGGGATTAACATGTGCTCCTCCTGATATTGGAGACCTCAGAGTGGATCCTCAGAGAGAGAGAGAGAGAAACAAGGCCAGCAGCATCTGCAGAACACATTGAGCAAAGCAGAGAGAGCAGTACATTTTGAGTTGTGTGTCTGTGCATGTGCTCCCTCTGTCCCTGCATATTGAATATCTCTGGCAGTCTCCTGGCTGTAGTGAGTTCACAGAGCTGACATCCTGACAGGGGTGTGCCGCTTCACCCCCCTCCCTCCACAATCCCCCCTCTCCCAGTCTCAGGGAGGGAGGTCAGGCAGTTCTCATTGGTTGCCATTTTCTGTGTATCTTGGGCTAGTATCTAGTATCACTGTAATACAGTCGGCCAAGGGAAGGATAAAACACAAGAGGGGAGATCAAATACCGATCAGCCTCTAAAGTACATAAGCAGAGGATTGGAAGGCGGGGTGTTGGCAGTGGAAAGGCTTTGCTGAGATGTTGTCCGAGGACCAAGTGGGACCAAACAAAAATGTGGCCAAGTTGTGGTTGAGGCAGTTCGAAAAAGAATCAGGTTTCATGCAGTCCTCCTCCTCGCTCTAAAACGATCCTGAAACAATTCAAAGTCCCTGCTCCTTTTCAAAACCCAATGTTTGCATTAAAATGAACATTTCAGTGTTGACTGTTGAGTCACTTGCACACACCAGATAATTGGATTGATACTTCCTCTTCTACCCAACCATCATGATTCAATCATATGTTTGGTTGCGATATACTTAGATAGTGCTCAGGTAACGATTGGTGGGATGCAGTGTATAACATTATATTTTGTCTGATGCGAGGTCCTCCCATACCCAGTGTGTGTGTTGCTGCTTGAGCCTGGGCTGGGAGCCCTGCAGGAGCTGCTGAGTCATCGGGCTGCCGAGCTGGGAGATAGGAGGTGGAATCTGTGTCTGAGCTTGGTGCTGGCATAGTTACCATGGCACAAATAGCCCCAGCACCAGGGGAGCCGCAGGGAGGGAGAGCTGTGCATAGCTGACCCAGTCTGGCCTGATCTGGGGCCCATGCCTCCCCTCACATGTCCCTGTCCCACTTAGCGAGGAGTGTGACACCAGAGACACGGAGATGGCCAACTCCGAGGTGGACGTGGGTGTGACACAGACAGTGCCGAGGTCAAATTAGCCCTCTGCAAGCTCACCTGGCATTCACACAGCAGACTAGCACAGCATATCGAATCAAACACTCGCCACCTCATTCAGAGGGGCAGTCTCTGCTCGCAGCCAAACAGCCAAGTGAATCAGAATGAACAAAGTAAAGCTGACATAGGATTGCAGTGTTTATTTGGTTGTTTACAAAACCGGTCTGGAAACTGTAAAGAGAGAGAACCAAAAATAGCCTTGGCTATAGACAGGTGCAGCTACGATAAATATACTTACTATAGGTTATATGGGGAAAGGCGCATCTCACAACAGATTGCAGCCCATGACTGGTTGTGACATGCAGAATGCCATACAAACACAAAACCATTGCCCATTCAAATTGAAAATGTCGCAATTTCAACAAACACAGATGTGTTTTAATTTTATATTATAGTGTACTAGGAGCAGGGAAGAAAATGTTGTTGCTTCCAATTGAACAGCAGAGAAATGCTCCTGTTAAATTTAAGTGTAGTGCTTAAAATCAACAGCAAGGACAACTTCTGTCGTACCCAGGCAATGCTGTTCAAGTCATCCAATGATTAATCAAAGTTTTTGTTATTTTGTTTTTCTTTTAGCATTCAGCTTGCATATTTATGCCGCATTTTGTACTTCCATTTAGGGACATTACACTTCAAGAATGTGTCATACTACAACAAAAACCCAAACAAACAAAAATGAACAAAGTGCTCTGTAAAAGCTAAACAGTCGAAAGAATTCTGGGCCGAAAACGACTCTGCCATGTTAATTAATTACGGCATGCTAGACAGCTAACAACTGGGGGTTGCCATAATCACACTAAATCTGTTCATTGGATGAAAACACTCATTAACCTATGGAAATACTGCTCCACCCTTGCGCCAGGGGCCTCATCAAATGGGAGATTAAAGAGATAAAGTGAAAAGCCCCCAGGACCCTATGGAATCTACATTGCCCCATTCGGCTCATTCTGGCCCTGCCGGAGCTATCTTTCCTTTCTCTCTCTAGGACTCCAACTCAGCAGCCAACTCTCTCACAATGTAAGGAATGTAATAAAGTGCAAAATGGCCCTTTTCTTGTAAAATCACAATACTGACACTCCTGTCCTGGTAAGAGGTGAGCGCAGCAGGTTTGGTTCCAGGATACGGTGCAGGAAAGGGTCATTTCTGATACACATACAGTACCAGTCAAAAGTTTGGACACACCTACTTATTCCATTTATTTAGAATTCAAGGCACACTTAACCAGCATGGCTACCACAGCATTCTGCAGCGATACGCCATACCATCTGGTTTGCGCTTAGTGGGACTATCATTTGTTTTTCAACAGGACAATGACCCAAAACACACCTCCAGGCTGTGTAAGGGCTACTTTACCAAGGAGGAGAGTAATGGAGTGCTGCATCAGATGACCTGGCCTCCACAATCACCCGACCTCAACCCAAATGAGATGGTTTGGGATGAGTTGGACCGCAGAGTGAAGGAAAAGCAGCCAACAAGTGCTCAGCATATGTGGGAACTCCTTCAAGACTGTTGGAAAAGCATTCCTCATGAAGCTGCTTGAGAGAATGCTAAGAGTGCGCAAAGCTGTCATCAAGGCAAAGGGTGGCTACTATGAAGAATCTCAAATATAAAATATATTTTGATTTGTTTAACACTTTTTTGGTTACTATATGATTCCATGTGTTATTTCATAGTTTTGATGTCTTCACTATTTTTCTACAATGTAGAAAATACTAAAAATAAAGAAAAATGACTAGGTGTGTCCAAACTTTTGACTGGTTCTTTATATAGGGGCCTATGTACTAGATCATTGGAAATCAGAGACAAAATATGTATTTTCTTTCAGCAATATTTTTGTTCCCATCACTCTGGCTTGGACAACGGCCAGAGAGACCCTCCTGAAAATGGTCAGACTTGAACGACCATTTTGTCTCCGATGATCTACTCGTCACTAAGTAGAATGAAGTTTGATTTCCTATCGGACAACTCATGCTACCCTGGGATGATGTAGGCAGGGACTACTGATGTGGTCAGACAACCTTGTTTACTTTGAAATGATATTGGAGTGAGGAGAGATGGGAAACAGAGATTGGTACAGCAAAGCAAGTGTTTTGATTCCATCGAATGCAGCAGAGGATCTGAGCGAGACATAACTCTGTAGCCTTCAGACTCAACCTCTGACCCTTTGCACAGGTGAGACATGAGAGCAAGAAATAAATAATTAATGATTGGACCACCACAGAAGCTCTAAAATGTTCTAAAACCCCAAGCATCGAGTGAATTCCAGAACAATTAAATAAAGAAAGTGCTTTGTGCTACAGAGATGAATCAAGGGTAATTATTCAAGAACCAAGTTTATAGCATTGAGAAGAGATTCAAGACAAGAAGTCAGCATAACTGTAAACTGCACCCGGCAGCAGTCAACATGGCACTGTGGACGGAGTTCATTGTAGGACCACCATCACAACACTCGCCACAGCCAATTCAAACACTGTCTTTATGACCTTTAGCAATGTTTGCCGAAAGTGGAATTCACAAACATTCTCCCTCCGAATGACCCTCTGACAAAGTTCAGTGTGCTGGGGCGTAAGGGCTTTCAAAGAGCACCTTGATTTGTATCACACAGACCCTTGTTCCCCCTCTTCTCCACTGTCAGACCTGATTGGTCACATTGGGCTCCCGGACAAAGATCAAGTGTGGGCTTCGAGAGGCTAAACCTCTTATTAAGACTCTAAAATTACAGTAGGGAAGCAACAAGAAGAATCATAGGCGACATCACCAAGCAGAAGGAATTTCAATATGTTTCTATTGATTTTATGTCGTGTGGCAGAAAGTGAACTATGCCGTTGAGAATGGGCTTAACGAGGTCAGTCCCCCCAGCCACACACATCACCCCATACCATCCATGTCTACCTGTCAGCCTGAGACTTCCCACGCTGGCTGAGTCCCACACAGCACTACTGCAGCTGGACCATCACAGTCACACCCTCCTGTCAATGGAAACTTTATGGCCTGGTATTCCTGATATTCAATTGCTCCTTCAATTACAGAGGATAGGTGACAGGACATTATAGGTTATCTGGTGGATCTCCTCTCTCATTGATCTTGAAGCACACAAAAGTGGCACTGTTCAATAGCATTCTCCAGGGCTCTAGGCTGACGTTTTTTACAAGGAGCATGTGGCGCCTAAGTTGAAAAAAGTAGGCGCACACAACAATTTAGGAGCACAATGAAAAATATTTTAGGTAATAAAACTAGAATCCTTCATTTTTCTAGGCGCCCTAGTGCTCCTAAATAAAAATTCCAGGTCACACAGCAAAATATTTAGGCCCATATGCAAGTAAAATGGTGGCCCTTTAGAGCCCTGTTATCTTGTCATGTCATGGGGTTTAATAATTTGGGAACATAATGTAATATTGAGAACAGAGATAATAGGTGACAGTGACAGATTTGGGGGCTATTTACTGTATCAAATATTTACTGTTCGGCCTCCATCACAGGTTTTAGCTATCTTCCTTACAAAGCCATGGAGAGACAACAAATAACAGCATCACAAAATGGAAAAGGATGTCCAAGTTGAACTGCAGCACAGCACACCACAAACACATGTTTGATATTAGTGAGCGTGTAACTAATGTTAGTCTTGAGATGTGACTCCTGGAAACATGTTTGGTTGCAGAGAAGAGGCTAGGGTTTTCTCAAACTCATGTAATGAAACGTAATATGATACTTTGAGTATTTACACACCATGACAAAAATGGCATCCCTGTTTTTCTCTTCCACCATCAGCTTGTTACATACTGTAGGTATTATGCTAGATCACACAAAATCGTACGTATAATCCTTCCTCTAATACTGCTCATTTAAACTTTCCAAACACAGACTTTACTTAAATAAGGGAATCCTTAAATAATATAAATGAGGGAATCCTTAAAGAAACTAAATGAATGTACAATCAAACATATCAAAGGATCGATCAAACAGAGGTCACCGCTCAATTACACGCAAACCACACCGGCCACGTTGTGTGCTAGCGAGTGTCGCAAAATAAATGTACACATACATGTTAATCATTTCACCCACACTGCTCGCACACGTGAACGAGTGTCTGTGCACTCAAGAGCTAAAATAGAACTTGGTGCTATTTGAGATGCTCCACGCGC